ATCTATATCTTTATATATATATGTAGATATCAGGTCGACGACCTCACAAGGGACAGGTAAGCGAAAATCGGGAATTGATTCGGTGTTCAGTGTAGAAACAAGGTATTGATTCGGGCTTCGCCATGCGCAACGACGACTGCAAGGTGCGGAGGGGATCGAGCAGCTTTATACAAACGTTATCGTGGCTATGGCGAAAGGTAATCGAGCTGCGGAATGCGGATCGGATATGGCGGACGAAGGTGGAGGGTGGAGAAAAGAGATCGGAGCACAACCACTGGCGAAACAACAAAACCGGGAATTGATTCGGGGGTCAACAGAACAAGGCTGCGGGGTTATATCGTGCAGGTACAGACAGGGCATCTGGAAATGTGTTCGGACGTCGGACACAGAATAGGACAACTCAAGTTATATGATTTTACCTTCGTCGTGTGTTGAGCGAGCCACCAACCACCGAACCAGCTATGGTGGAGGGATATCGAGCTAGGAAGAGCGAAGATCGAGGAGCGAAGAGCAAATCGAACACAATGTGGCAACTGTGGATGGAGCGAAGAGCGAAGAGTGAGCGGGCTATGGCGGAAGGTGGGGGGGGCTGAAGACCAAATATCAGAACGCGCGCGGAAGCGATAGCGTGACTTGATCTGTGGAGCGCCAACAAAAGGGATAACTCGAGGGCTGCAACGCCTTTTATACTTCGTTGCAGCAGGCCTCGCATCGGGATCAAGGTGGGGCCGAATCGATCTGCATATCGCACCCTTGGGCCCATAAAACGCCATCAAGGTGGGGCCGAATCGGTTCGCGTATCGCACCCCTGGGCCCATAAAATGCCAGGGCCTATAAACGGTAAGGGGTACCGAAAATTGTCAGCCGTCGATCAACAATTGTCAACCACGCAGATGAACGGAGCCACTGTTATGCCAGTGGCCCCAAAATCTCTGTCTACTCCGGCGTGCAATGATGTGACAGTTCCCGAAAACAAGCGGCAGGCAATGTCATTTTCGCAGTTGTAATTAGGACCGTCGAACGGCATGATCCGACACACGAGGTCAGGCGCAAGAATCTATAAGGTGCGACGATTCGTTGTGCGTCGAGGCGGTTCGTTGAGCGCCGAGGCGCGGCGATTCGTTGTGCGCCGAGGTAAAAAACACTGGAAATCTATAAGCTCCAGTGTCGCTGTCATTCGGACATTTTGCAAATGTCAACGGCGTTCGATATCGATGCGCTTAGCCATGCACCATCGGTATCGATGCGCTTAGCTCATCGTCATCGCCAACGCTCGTCATGCACCATCGCCATCGATGCGCTTAGCTCATCGCCATCGCGACGCAAATTATATCCCCCATCGCAGCCGTCCCGCTCGCCTGACCATCGCAGCGCTAACAATCGCCATCGCTCTCATCGCAGCGCTGGCCATCGCTGCGCCATCGCAACGCTGGTACCATAGCTGCCATCGCAACGTTGGTTCCATCGCTGTGCCATCTCTCAATCGGTGCACCATCGCTATCGCTGTTCCATCGCTGCGCCATCGCTATCCCTATTCCATCACTACGCCATTGCTCTCCACCGGTGCGCCATTGCTGCGCAATCTCTATCGTTGTTCCATCGCTGCCATCGCTATCGCTATTGCTGCATTGTAACGCGTTCCATCACCGCGCCATCGCTCTCCACCGGTGCGCCATCGCTCTCCACCGGTGCACCATCGCTCTCCACCGCAGCGCTGGCCATCGCTATCGAAGCCCTAGCCAGTGTTATCCCACCGCAGCGCTGCGAGATTTCTCTCTCCATCGCCGCACGATCTCCCTCCATCGCTGAGTGATCACTCTCCATCTCACTCCATCACTGCGCGATCTCTCTCGACAACCGGGCAACCTCCATCCTTGCCCCAGAGGCTCTCCATTACTCGTGCACGATCCCGCCATCGCCATTGTATTGTTGTTTCAGGCCGTCGTCGGTGCAGCCGCCCATCACTGTGGAATCGCAGGAAACAGGTGACAGGTATCAGTGCCTGCCCCGTGAACAAGACCGGCACCGGTCACCTGAACGTGACCAACCGGTCAACGGGGCCAAAATCCGTGAACGGCTGTTCCCGGCGGCCGTTCACGTGATCTCCGCCCACGTGGAGGCCGGAATGGTCGGGCTCGGGGCATGAGGGGGGTGGTGCGGGGGCCTTCTACACCCCCGTGCCTTCAAAAAAGAAAAAAACAAAAAAAAACAAAAAGAGTATGTTGTGTGTGAATGTAAATAACGTACAAAATAACAAACGAAAAAACTTATTTTGGCTGGTCGCTTTTTTTTTTTTTTTAATTAAAAAAAATATATTATTCAAGGAAAAAAATTTGAAAAAAATGTGGGGGGTTACCCTCCGATGATCCCCACCCTCCTGTGAAAAAAAAACTATGCCCCCCCAGCCAAAAAAAAAAAAAAAAAAAAAATCGCTCTTCGTAAACTCCATGAACTCCCATGTCGTGAACGTGGTGAACTCCGTGACCGGTCTCCGGTCACACACCCTGTGAACGGTGAACGGGGGTACGACACTGACAGGTATGCTTAATGAAGGTTTAACTTGATGGAACTGATGTTGTGCAATAACAAATCTTGGTCATCCCTGTGCCTTCTCTCTTTATCGTTGCGGCATCGTTAACCATTGTTGCGCGTCCTCTCTCCATCTCTCTCGACCGATGCGCGATCTCTACCGACCTTTCGTCATCTATCCCCATCGCTGCGGTATCTTTCCTGATCTATCTCCTTCGTCATCTATCTCATTCGGTGCGCTATCTTTCCTAATTTGTCTCCTTCGTCATCTATCTCCATCGCTGCACTATCTGTCCTAATCTATCTCCATCGTCATCTATTTGCTTCGGTGCGCCATCTTTCTCCATTGCTGTGCTATCGCTAACCATCGTTGCGCCTGTTATCTCCATTGTTGCGCCATGTTTCTCCATCCGTGCGCAATCTCTCTCTCTCGCTGCAGCACACCTCCCAATCAGTTCGCGATCTCTTTCCCTTCCTGCGCCATCCACCTTCTTCCTCGGAATATACAACGCACTTTCGTTATAGTTGTCTTTAGACTGAAAGATGACCCGAATTCAGTTGTAATGACTGGACGTTGAATTCAGGGGAGGACTATGACTCCATCCATCTCTCTTGGTGCGCCATCTCTCTCATTCGGTGCGCCATCTCTCTCCATGTATTTTCATCGATGCGCCGTCTGCCCATCGCTTCGCAATCTTAGTCCATCTTAAAAAATAGCACGCCATCTTTTCCTATTTCTCTCTTGCGACGATCTGTGGCTCGTACTACACGCAGAACAAGCCGGAAACAACTTGCACTTGTACCCGCAGTTTCGTACTGGAAATGGTCGTTTACAAGTGCGAATTCATTCGCTCTTGAACCAACCAACCCCTTAATTTGTCACTGTTTTGTCCATAGGTCAGAATGAACTCGCACTTGTACCCCCAGTTTCGTAATGAAAATGCCCGTTTGCAAGTGCAAATTTATTCCCTTTTCAATCAACCATCCCCCTAAATTTCTTACTCTATAGTCCAAAAGTCTCAGTTTCATAGTGGAAATGTTCGTCTGCAAGTGCGAATTTATTCGCTCTTCAACCAACCATCCCCCCAAATTTGTGACTCTTTAGTCCATAAGCCCCAGTTTCATAATGGAAATGCTCGTTTGCAAGTGTGAATTTATTTGCTCTTCAACCATCCATCCCCCTAAATTTGTTCCTCTTTAGTGGATAATTCGCATCTCTTCTCGGCCCCAAAGAATGAAGTCATTTTGTATTTGCGAGTTAACTTGCCAGTGAACCAACCAAGAAGGCAATTTCTTATTGCACGGCGTAATCGAAATGTTCATCTGAAGTGCGAATTTTTTGGCACTTTAAATTTCTCGCTGTTTAGTGGATAATACCGAATCGACTCGCACTTGTTTT